CACACACACACACACACACACACACACACACACACACACACACACACACACACACACACACACCCCTACCTTCTTCCTCATCTAGATTGCTCATTGTTTGAAGGCAGGGCCTTTAGCAGAATGCATCCCACAAAAGGTGCTTAGTAAATGTTTGATGAAGGCAAAGGAAGAGTTATGGGGCTGCATGGCAATGAGAATGATTCTGAGAGCAGAGGGCTTAGTTAAAGAGGCTTTTGAAAAAGTGTGCAAAGGATAATAAAGGATTCAGTGTATTGCCAACTTGACTCAAATCCTCATTTCATTACGAGAGGAACTTTAGGGAGATTGAAATGACAATAGAAAAGGACTTTGGGACTGTTGAGAATTTACATGGATTATGAGGGACAGGTTTGCTGTGAGACTGTTTCCTAGTGAGCTCAGAAGCTACACCCATAAAGTCTCACCAATATGACTGCCTAGACATGAGCTGAGCAAGGACAACAATAAACATGGCAAGATGGATAGGTGGAAGACCATGAGGCCTCAGCACTACACAAATCACTACAAGCAACTAAGGAATACTGAGAGTGGGAGAATTAGTCTTCCCCAGGGAAGTGCGCACCAGTTGGTTATCTAACTCCAAATGGTGAATCCTGAAAATAAACATACCAGTACCAGTATACATATTGATGAGGTTGTATTTAGGATTATATATGCATATACAGCAATTAGTGAAAAAGAGGCCATGAATTTGAAGGCAAATAGGGAGGAGTTATGGAAGAGGTAGGAAGGAAGAAAGGGAAGGGGGAAATTATGTAATTATAATATCAAAATTAAAAATAAAGAAAATACTTCTTTGAAAAGTTACTAAACCCAAGTAACTGTAGTAGCATTGTTGACAAAAGATAGTAAATCAGAGGTGGAGAGTAGACATGGAGGGAAATCTTCAGATAGCATATATAGAATTTGTACTAACACTGAGAACCAACTGGACATACCAAACAAGCAGTAAAAGATCCTTTTGCGGGGATTACCATTCAATTCACTTCAACAGATACTGACCTAGTGTGTACTATGTGTACCGTTCTCTATTCTGGAGATAGGCAAACATAATCTCTGCCTCCTGACTTAATGATCAAGTGGGGAAAACAGTCTAATGCAATTGCAGTGATACGAAATAGTAAGCAGAATTACTGATTAGGGAATATTATGTAAATATAAGTGGGATAGTGACTGATTGTATAGTTACCAGTGAGAAAAAGTTACAGAAGGAATGATTACTGGATTTGGCTTTGAAAGATAAATAGAAGTTTGCTCAATAAATGAGGACATGCCTTTTTCAAATAAAAGGTAACCTCAGGAAAACATATAGGGCATACAAATTCATGGCATTCTAAAGTAACAATAAGAAGTCTGAAATGATTAAAGAAAAAGGGATGTCAGAATAAAGATGGGTAGTGCAAAGGGGATAATGATTGTCAGAAACCAAAGACAGATGTTGTTACAGTGGCCTAGAGAGGAAGGATGTGTAATGGATAAAATTGAAACCCCTGGATCCAAATCTCATCTCTCTCACTCTTAATTGTATAGACTTGAACATGTCACTGAATGTCTCTGCGCTCATGTTTCCTTATCTCTCAAATGGGAATAGTGATAACCTGCCATGAATAATTGTTTTGGAGGATTGAAAGGTGCTTAAAATAAACTATTACGGTGGTGCCTGGCATACCATGAGTGTTCTGTAAAGGTTAGCCTAAGGACTCAATTACAAGTAATGAGGCACTGTGCCATTCTCTACTATACCAGCAGCAGCCTGAAAAAGAAATTTTAATGGGAAGCAGCTGTTTCCAGGTCTCTAAGCAATGACCCTGGGAGAACTAGATAGATCTCTTATTCTCAGAGGAATGAGAGTTCCTTGAGATGGTATGATGTCTACCTCAGAAAAGTAGATCTAACTTAGGGAAAGGAAGAAGAGTCTGGGGAAAAACAATGGAGAAGGGCCAGAGGGACTGTTTACTTAGAATAAATAAAAGCTGCTGCCATTGTATTCCCCCTGGTTAGATGGCTCAGTGGTTACTGACTGCTAACAGTCAAAACTCGGGTTCAGTTACCAACTGCCACATGGTAGCTCACAACCATCTATAACTCTAGTTCCAAAGGAACCATCACTCTCTTCTGACCTCTGAGGGCATCAGGCACATATCTGGTACACATATATGCATGAAGGCAAATCACTCATGCACATAATTTTTTAAAAAAATCTTTAAAAAAGAAATATATAATTATCCAGCAAGAACTGAGGAACACTGTTCAGTTGATTCCTTCTCAGAAAGAGTCAGTCATCTTTTTTTTTTTAAAGATGTAGACCCTGGTAGGTTGACCACACTCCAGGGGATTGCCCCCACCTCAGATTATATGGGCAGCACAAATTGGACTCAATGGGTTCTTTTTTTTAAGTTTTGAAAAAAGACAGGAAGTTGAGGAGGATAGGGGTGGAGCTGGGAGGAGTTAGGGGAAGTAGTTGAGTGTCAATATGATCAAAATACATTATATGGAATTCTAAAGTAATGAATAAAGCCATTTAAAAATATCCAGCAGGTACCTGAAGTAGAGTGGAGATAACTCGGTCCAGGGATATTGCTGAATTTGGAATGGGTAGAGGAATATTTTGAACAGAGAGAGTGACTGCTAGCACAGCCCCTCCTCCCCAGCTAACACAGCAATGTAGCTCCTTGCGTTTTGATGCTTTCAAGGAAACTATTGTCTATTTCTCAGCTTTCTAGAGCTCTGCTCAAGTGGTCTTCAAATAGACTCTTGTGATAATTGTGCTTCTCTGTGTCACTGCTCTATGTGCAGCTGAAATGGAACTGAACCTTGTTTGCCAGCCTCTGCCAGCGTTCCTCAGGCGTTCATTTAAAAGAGCTCAATTTGAAATATGGTTTTGCCACTTAATTAGCATTTCGATATGGAACAAGTTAGCGAAATTCTCAAAGCCTCTGTTTCTTCATTTGTGAAGTGAGTTAAGAAAACCAGCTTCTTCTTTAAAAAGTTATAATGATAATTTAATACTATTTTTCTCTGTAGTGTTTGGCATATTGAATGCTTCAAAGATGTCAGCTCCTTGTCTCTTCTTTCCCCATTGCATTTGGGGAGTCCCATGATCTCTTGCGTTCATTTTAGCACCTTCTGGGAACTTCATTTCATCCATTATCAATAGTAATAGAGAAGAGGAGATGAAGAGATCTGTCCATGGGAAGGACAATGTATAGTGTCTTTTTATTCAATTCCACCCTGACTTTGCAGCAGGGATTTTGATGTAGACAGTATCTCAAAATAGGAAAAGTATTTAGATATTGGATAGAAATTTCCTTCTAAGCCAAGAAATATGAGTAAAACATTATGACAACTATGTGAAAAATATCTACACATTCATATGCTTCATGTGAAAATAGATCTGCACATTCACATATTGAAAATCAAAAGGGAACAAGGAAAACAGAAAGCACTTTAAGCCAGTAGAAACATGCCATTGCACTGTAATCTTAATATTATTGTGCCCGTGGAAGAGAATCTACCTTCCTTGAGATGCATGGATCTTCTTGCCTTCTTTTTTTTATTTTATTTTATTAGTTCAAATTAGGAACAAGCTTGCTTCAGATGCCAATCCCTTCTCCCTCTTCCTGCCCCCCCCCCCAACATCCCACCTGCCCCTAGCCAACCCCCCTCAACTCCCCAGGCAGGGTAGAACAGCAGGAGGACAGGTTGCTGGAGTAAAGGGATTTTTGCATTGGGAATAACATGCCCCCTTCTCATCTGTCCTTCTGCCCAGCCTTCCATTAGTCATCATGACCTACCAGAGGCCTGGAGAGCTTCCTATCTGTAGTGTGTCAATGCCCTTTTGTCATTAATATCATCATCTCTATTCTTCTTCTAGGAGGGGAGGTATGGAAGAAGTTGAACATGTTTAGCTGTCAGTCCGAACCTCTTAGAGCCAGCAGGGGACAAAGGCAAAATCACTGTATAATTCTTTGGACTTTCTTCGCAGGTGAATACTGCTATGCATGAGGCAAAACTTATGGAAGAATGTGACGAGCTGGTAGAGATCATCCAGCAGAGGAAGCAAATGATTGCTGTCAAAATCAAAGAGACAAAGGTAAGCCACAGGGCTTCAGTGAAGCCAAGGTGCAGTTGACTTTTTTACAAAAGTTGGAGTTCATTCCTGATGATTGCAGTTTGAAATTAAATCATAAAATCAAAAGGAAATGAGGTCATAGAGGAAGATACCAAGAAGCAATGTTTGCTCTTTGCTGAGTCTGATAAAAAACCATGGCAGCTCTGGGTGCTGCAAACATTCTATATGTTGACCTGGATGTTGTTGGTTATGTGTGTGTGTGTGTGTGTGTGTGTGTGTGTGTGTGTGTGTGAGGGTGCTCTCTCGAATGGTCATTTACTTAGGATTTAGATGTTTTACTTTAGCATGTTTTCAGTTTGATTTTTTTAAAGCATTCTTTTGTGTGTATGGGTGTTTTGCTTGGATGTATGTCTGTGTCGTGTGCATGAAGTGCCCTTGTAGGCCAGAGAAGGCCACTGGATCTCTTGAGACTGGAGTTAAGGTCAGTAGTAGGCCAGCATGTGGGTGCTGAGAATAGAACCTAGGTCTTCTGGAAGAGTAATCATTGCTCTTAACCACTAAACTCTTCCCTCCCCCATATTATATGGTAATAAAAACAGAGAAATAATGGTAGAAACATGGGTTGGGATTATAGAAGAAATGTGACTGCCATCTTGACTGCTTTGGGCTTACAAATGTGTTGCGAAACTATTGTGATTCTATATGAAGGATGCAATCTGCTGTGGTAGAGGTGTGCATGGTAGATCAGAGCATGATGATACTGAAGCCAGAAAAGCAAGTTTGGAGACATACACTGATTTCTGGTATGAGTTCTGCAAGATGGAAACCAGACTAGTGATAGAACATATGGAAAGGAAAAGCATAATAATTGCTAGAGAGAAAATAGCATTGTTTAACTTTTTATATATAATAGAGGAAAGAAAGAGAAAAGAGTCAAAGAACTGTAGATTTTGTAGCAGGGAACAGATGAGTAAGGGTTAAAGAGGTCAGGTGAGAGTCTCCATGCAGCCTCTGTATGTTTTTAGGCTTGTTGGCCTGCTGGTTAATGATAGTGATTATAGGTCTGTACTGTGGGTACAATGGGAAAAGTTGCAAGTACCTCATTTGATGACCAATACTTTGTGCCATGCTGGGTGGTTCCAGCTAACATGAACTGAAGTTTCCAAGAATACATTGTGGTAGGTATAAAGATACTTAGAGAAATATAATCAGGTAAACACAGCTACTTATAAATAACAATGAGGTAATTTGGTTAAACGTGTACAAAAATATATTGCCAATATGATGTAAACAACAGTCATTGGTGGTAGAATTTCTTTTTGTATTCAAGATTTTTATAATTAACATGCATTGCTTGTATAACCAGAACAATGCTATTAATACAAAGAGAAAGTAGATAACAGAGAAATAGCTGAGTGCAAAGTAAATAATCAGGTTATAGATTGGGCAAGAGACTTGGCAGCCAGGATGAGGTGAGCAGTTGATGCAGGGGCCCTGGGATACTAATAACCCATACTTTTAGAATCACGGGGGCAGATCTCCTTCTTGTTATTTTATTGTTTTTAATTAAGCACAGTATGCTTTATCTCATCTTTTCTCTTACCCATCTTTTAAGGTTATGAAACTGAGAAAATTGGCACAGCAGGTTGCTAATTGCCGCCAGTGTCTTGAACGGTCAACAGTCCTCATCAACCAAGCTGAGCACATCCTGAAAGAAAATGACCAAGCCCGGTTTCTTCATTCTGCAAGAAATATCGCTGAGAGGTATATGTGCTCCTTATATTCTTTTCAAATGTCTGATCTTGTGAAAAGGGGCTGCTTCAAAGTCACTTAATTCTCTCCAGCCATTGTACAGTAGTTGCCACCTGAAGATTTTTACCAGCTAGGTAATTATTGAGCCTCCATGATAAATTACCCTGCAGATTTCTGGACCCCTTTCTCTGTCTTTGCTGCCTGTCAGTTATTTTAATATATAGCCAAGTATAGGGCTACCTTTTGCCTTAAGCTTCCTGCTAGGTCTTGAGCAATCTGTTATAGTTGTGGTATATGGGAAGAGAAACTCTGGATTACATTGATAGGATGTGCCTTTGCTAAGTCTATGTACTTTTTTCAAAATCAAAATCACCCCTATTCCCTTGCCTCCAGTTCCTCTCCTATTCCCTCATCCTGTTTCCCTCCCTACTTCGTGTGTTGTCTTTTTTCTAAAACCATTGAGTGCACTTATTGTTGTCTGTATGTGCATGGGTGTATGTACAGTTTTTATTGTTTCACTTAGGTTTTTCTTGCATAATTTCCTTAGAACAGTAATTCTTTGGCTTTTGTTTAATCATTTGGTCCTTTGAAAATGACTGCCATGAACGTTGTTTGAGAGTGTCTGAGAACTCATGAATCATTAGTCTATCTAGGGATCATTAATAGTCTATCTATCTATTAGAGTCAATGCTCTAAAGTAAATCATTGTCCAGTACAGCCACAAATTCTTCAAGGGGCTACAGGAGACCATTAGGCCAGATATGGTCTTTACATATTTCCCTCTCATTCATTAAAGACTGGTTTTTAAGCTCATGATCTTCTTCCTATTGGTACTGTCATCATTCTGGATAAGTTCACTCAGACAACTAACCCATGTAATACTGTAACCATCTAGCCTTCCACCCTCCTTGATATCTTCTTTTCCAGAGACTCCCATCTGGGATTCACTCCCTGGACCACACTTCATCATCATCACTCAGAATCACATGATTATAAGAGAAAGCATCACATTTTCTAACCATAACATCTTTTTAAATTCAAATACATCTTTTCTTCAACTTTATTGAGACCTCCAAGTCTTGAATCATATACTTCCTTACTTCCCTATTTTTTACAAGTGACCTCTTATCTCTATTTTGCTCTAAGCTTATTTGGACTTTGTGATTTATGTCTTCAGCCACCCTTTCTTAAGCATTTCCCTATCCCCATCATGGGATTCTTGGGGAAATGATAATTCTTTGGGATTCATTGTTTCAGTCCTCTGATAGCCAAAGGAAGAGGCACATGTGTCTGTATAATATCTCCTCTCCTGCCTGAGCTGTTTCATTGCCTTCTGTACTTCCCCGAATACCTGGTAAACTTTTGACTTCCCTTTTAAATTTCAGCTCTGAAAGGTGCTGAGAAGTTATGAGGGGGCGGGGGGCAATTTGTTGCTTGGTGAACTTTGCTGTAGGATTATGAGACAGAGTGCCAGCTTTTTATTGTTGGATCTCAACTGTCAGTACTATAGGTATTCTCTTTTGGGATTGTTTCCCTTGAAAGGAACCCTGCACCCTCCTGCTTTTGGTGGGCAGTGCATATGGGATGGGCAGGCTTATAGGCCCTGCTTGTCAGCATTCTAGGGGCCAAGCAGGGAAGGAGACACGAGACATTCCAGACTTTTTTTTTGTAAAATGTCAAAACTGTGCCGAAGTGAACCTCACATCTCCTGCCAGGCTGAGGAAAGGGCAGGCTGAGCGGATCTGTGGCTCTTGCTATTCTTCATGCAAACTTTCAACTTTGTGTCACTAAATGAGCTCGATGTTGCTGGCTTCCTAATGCAGCATTCTCTGGTCTGTTGTTGGTTACTGCACATCTGTCCCTTTCTAGCTTCCAGACATTTGTTGACAATCTCTTAGTTGCTGGCATCCATTTGTTTCATTCTCTTTGTCTTTGTGGGTTTAGGCCATTTTTATTCTTTTTCCTTCCAGTGGGATTTTGGGAAAGCAGAAAAGAAATATCTATTTAAGCCACTATATTTAACTGTCCTTAGCCTGCAGGCCTCTGAAATGTTTTCTCCCACCTTAACATTATTGAAAGTGTTCTTTTCAAGGTCACCAAAAGAAGACCTTGTTGCTAAATATAAAAGATGGTCCTTTGTTTCATCTTTCCCTTTCATCTTACTGGTTTCTCAGTAGCATGTATCCCTACTGACTGCGTTTGTCTGTCATAAAAATCCCCATTACCTGTCTGCTTTTCTTTCATTTCCTTTATTTCCTTTCCTTTTCTTTTTTGCCATCAAGAGCAGCTGTTCTTCCTGATTCAATATTAGGAAAGTCTCTTCTCCCTGCACACAATTTTCCTTACAAATCCATTAGCTTTTAAGTCTTCAATTACCATTTAATTATGATCAAATGCTATGTTGATGGTTCTCAAATCTCTGTGTAAATCTTTCCATGGGCTCCAGTGCATGTAATAGATGGCTGACTACATGATATCACTTGAGAATCATCTACTCAATATAAATATCTTTTTCTCTAGTATCCATAGAATCTGAAATTCATCCTTATTCGTATTCATTGTATTGTATTAAGGTATTTTGACTTCAGATACAATGAAATTTCAGCTGGGAGACATGCCCCTCCAACACTTTCTATATTAGTTTGTATGATGATAAATGTTTTGAAAGACTGCTGTGAGACTACAGAAAGCTCCAACACCCCATAATCCCACTTTTAACACATTCTTAACCTTCCAGCCACTACTATTGTTTAGGAATATAGTATTGTATCACACAAACACTCACATACACACACACACACACTCACACACACACACACACACACACACACACACACACACACACACACACACACACTCGCTTTCTCTCTCTCCCTCTCTTTCTCTTTCTCTCTTTCTCTCTTCACAAATGTAAGATAATACTGTATATACTCTATTATAGTTAACGTTTGAAATAATAGATCACACTTTCTCCTTTATCATTAAAAACTTTATTTTTAATGACTTATGAAATTTATATACATATATTACTTAGTCTCCAATGTTAGAGAATTAGGTTATATATGGTATGCTGAGTGCATTTGTAGTTATCATTACATGCTTCTCAGTTATTTGCTTTGTAAGAATTTTATCAGATGCTTCATAAGATAAAAGCACTTGCTGTGTAATCAGGAAGACTAGAATTAAGATCCTACCACCCACACAACAATATAAGTGCCCTACCTATGCCTGTAACCCCAGCTCTGAGGCGTACAGAGACAGGAGGATTGGCAGAATTGTCTAGCTTCCAGAATACATGAAAAACATGTGCTTCAGGTTTGGGGAGAGATCTTGTCTCAAAGGAATAAGTGGATAATGATAGCTGAGGACTCTACACCCTCTTCTGGTGTCTGCATGGATGCATAGGCTCATACAACTGCACACACATGTGCGCACACACAAACAGATGACTAAATCTTTTAAAATTTGTATGAAGTAGTATCAAAAATATGTAATTATAAACTGTTTTGATATGCAGTGTTACTCTTCAACATATCTATTTCAGTTCCAATAAGATTATGCCTGTCAGCACTGAGATACAGCTCCATACTGTTATCCTCAGCAGCCTGAGGAATTCTCCTAAACTAGAGACCTGAATCCAGACCAAACCAAGAGTCATGGCTTTGATGTAGAAAAGAATTTCAAAACTAGCCAGTATGATGAAGCAGAGTTGGAGATTTTGTTAAAGTGATTTTAATATAGGGCATTAAGCACAAGGGTTAGGAGAAAGAGGCACCCATGGAAGCAAAGGCACACCCAAGAGCATGAATGTGGCCTTCCCTAAGTGAGTTACAGAGAGAAAAACACACCCTTGTATGGATATGAACTCCTCAAGGGAGTCACAGAAAATAAGACATACACAGAGCATAGAGTCATAGAAAATGGGGCATACTAAAGTCGTGGATATGGGCTCCACGAGGGAGACATACAATTAATGGTCTTAACATTAACCATATATACCCTTGTGGTGGCTCTCAATTTACAGCTTAAGTTTTCTAGCTAAAGAACTTTTTACTCCCTCTTTCTCTCTCTTTTGAGAATTGAGATTATATGGTGGCTCTGGAGATGCCTTGGACTGAGTTCTAATCTGATGGGTAAAACCATAAGATGCTGTGGTCTCACAAGGGGCTTAATATATGCCTTTTCTGTGTAAATGGGGTTTCTGGTGAGATTCTAGAAAAATATATGTCTACAGCTGGGAAGAGAGAAAGCTAAGCAGCTGTTAATTGTGCTAATATTCTTTCTTCATTTCTGGCAAGAGACTTCTGATTTCTGAATAAGAGGCTCTGTCTTTCTCATGTCCCCTGTCTTTTTTAAATCTTGCCTCATGTAGGTATTGTTTACTATAGATGTAAAAGTTCCTATATTATCTTTACTTGTAATCTACATGCTTTCTAATCTTAATTTACATTTCTTCAATTTCTCATGTACTTGGATTGTTTTTTGGAGGCAGGATCTTGCTATGTAGCCCAGGCTGACCTGGGACTCATGGTCTTCCTGCCTCCAGCTCCTTAGTTCTGGGATTCCAGGTGTGTACCACTATGCTCTGCTTTGTACTTGCTCTTTGAATCTTATCAGTACTTTGTTTCCATAGGGCATTATTATTATTGCTGCTGCTTTTGCTGCTGTTATTTTTGAGACAGGGTATTAGTCTGGCTGACCTAGAGCTCCCTTTGTAGTCCAGACTGGCCTTAAATCCTAGAAATCCCGCTGCTGCCACTTGAGTTCTGCAATCACAGGTTTGCACCACCACATCTGGCTTGTTTTTGTGTTGTTCTTTTTCTTTTATCTATCTATCTATCTATCTATCTATCTATCTATCTATCTATGTGCTTATTTATTTAGTTTCCATTCTTTTATTTATGTCTCTTTGTGGGTATGTGTGTAAACTCACATGTGTGAGATCAGCAAACAATTTATGAGAATTCATTCTCTCCTTTCACAATGTGAGTTCTGGAGATCAAACTCAGGTAGTCAGGCTTGGTGACAAACACCTTTACCCACTGACCATTTCACTGGCCAGATTGGTTTCATGTTTTTTTCACCACTCTTTTCCAGAGTGGGTGTTTGTGGGT